GGCGCCGGCAGAGAGTCTGTATGAGGCTCCCTGCTGCGTCCACAGGCCAGATGCAGCAGGTTGGTGGGCCAAATCCAGCCTGCGGAAAGTATTTTGCCCAGGCCTGTCCTAGATGAACATGCTGAGAGAGACAAGGTAGTTGCCTCTGTCAACCCCTATGTGCCAGTCTCCACTGCAGCAGTGAAGATGGATATGTGCATGTACCCCAGACCCTCCTGTTCCTGCCCTTTGTAATACTATCTCTTCTTTCTGCCTTTGCATTAAAACAGCTCTGAATCTGCTGCCATAGAAGCTGGTATGGGGATGTTGATACTGAAATTAGACACCCCTGGCTGGTCCATGCCAGCTGACTGAGGCTCACATGGCTTGGGCCAATGTGCTGTTTAACTGCAGTGAAGATTTTTGAGTTCTGGAGCCCTTCAACCTTACAGAGTCCTAGAGGCTGGGCCTCAGCCTGAGCCTAAATGTCTGTACCACAGTTAAACAAACCCTTAGCCCAAGCCCCACAAGCGTGAGTCAGCTGTGGGATTTAAATTGCAGTTTAGACATACGTTAGGTGCACAAAGGAAGGCTTTGGACCTGCTCCCTATGGGCCTAATCCTTCAAGCACTGCTTGCACAGATCATCCCCAGTAAATACTCACAGCAGTAAGTTTGCAAGGTCACCACCTGAATAAACTATACAGAGTGTCAGCAGTTTTAAAATCAGCACCATCCTTAACAATTGTGTGCCCCTTACTATACTATGCTTACAACAGATCTACAATCACTCCTTTTCAAAAGCCATCTTTTAATATCCCTTTTCAATCATTCTGTGTGCCACTGTCATTATAATCAGCAGTGATGTAAATTGGCCCTTCTTTCAACACTGCTAGATAGGCCAGGTTCTAGAAGCCTATAGATTGACTGGTATATTTTAAAGCAACAAAAGATTGCCTCATTTAAAGCATATTCTCTTGGCAGCCTCTGCTTAAGTTGCCACCAGCATTTCTGAGCTGAACTTTCATTTAGCATTTCAAGCTGTAGCTCCACCATCAAAAATTTTGTGCATGCTGAAGTACTTGACAGTGTGATTGATTTTAAGTCAGACAGGGTAATCTGTTAACAGACTTCTGAAGGGGTGTGTGTGTGCGTGTGTGTGTGTTGATAGGCAGAAGTTCTCACTTAATTCTATGTCACTTTATGAGACTACATTGCTATGCATCAGTTTGTGACGTTTGTACGGCATTTTAAGATGCTTTTCAATGAATGGCACTAGTCAAATGGCATAATCATAATTCTTGGGAATAACCACAGGAACCACTAAAACAGTGATGGTAATGAACAAACCACAGGGATCAGACAGAAATAACACAAATTGAGTCTGCAGATGAACAGCACATCCAGTTTTACTTGTAAAATGAGCAAATTTCTACAGATTCTTGACATGACACCAAGCAAGGAGCCCCGTGATCCTGGTTTTGGTAATTTGCCAGAGTAGAGACATACTTTCAATTCTAATCAGTTCAAATAAATCTTTCATCCTGACCATAGTTTTGGTGCCACTGATAAACCTCAGGTTCTAACATATAATTTGATATGTTCCCCTCTCTTCTTTTCTGCTGGTGAATCATTTTCTTTAATGAGTGCCATGAATATGTGCTTGATGCTTTCAAGCTCCTTTATTTCACATAATGCAGTTTTGCCCCACAATCTGTAAATCCTCCTCTATGGCAGATAGCTAATCCTGGGGCTTAGAAGGGTAGGGCAAACATGCTCCCATTTTAACATGTATCTCTTCTTCAGTGCTTTAATTACCCATAAAGCTGTGCATTGGGAGATTCTTCAGAGGTATTCAGCCTCTAAGAAGCTGGTTCTTCAGATGTGCAGTGGGCTTGGGAGACCCGTAAGGAGAATGTACACCTTTTGGACTTTCCCATAGAGGGTTAAGCAGACTTAGGTTAGCTCCCCAAAGATTTTCTGTGCTAGCTTTGGATTTCAAGCAAACTTTGAGCTGAGGAGTACTCTCTGAATTTAGGGAAAATAATGTGGAAAAAGTCCAAGGCAGCGCCAGGAAATTCTCCTCTCAGACTTCCAAAAAAAAAAAAAAAAAAAAAAAAAGATGAAATGAGAATAGACTATCACTAGAGAGAGCAAAATAGTTGCTTAGAGCTGTCTTGTCAGGAGGTCTGAGTTTGCATACTCTGAATTCAGAGACTCCAGGCTTTCAAATATCATAGCACAAGGTATATTTCTTTACATAGTCAAATCACATTCCCGCTACAGCTATAGTGTTCCTCCCCCTCCACCTCATGTTAAGAGCAGAGCCCCACATCATAAAAGCTAGTATGTTGCTTGAGTCTCCTTGGAGGCTGGGAGACCAGGCATGAAATCTGGTATCTATTGGTAAATGGTTCCAAATGCAACATCATCGCATGTGGAGGCTCAGTGGTCTCTCTAGGGTGGGGACTGGTGCAGATTGAAAAGCACAGAAAGAAAGTTGCCAGAAGCATCTAATTAAAACTAAAATGTTGATCATCCTCTAAGTGTAACAGG